TACGCGTATAAGTGTATTTTTTTTTTTTTTTTTTTAAAGTGGTTTTAAACGGAATAAAATTTTTTAATAAAATTCTTACGCACGTACACACGTGCGTAACTTGTTTATTGAAAGAATTCATTTGGGAGTAATTAATCGTTTTTATTTTTATACTTCCGATGTATTACGTAAAATAGATAAAACAATTTTAGTTTTTATTTTTATAAAAAGAAATTAAATACATTTACAAGTAAATATTTTATATAAATTATGCGGAGAATAGAGTGAAGAAAGTATCACGGGTTTTGAAAAATTAATTAGTTATTAAATTATTTATGTTTTTTAATGTAACACGGAGAAACTCTCTCCTTCTCTCTCTTTCTGTTTCTGAAAATAATATCAAGTTATTCTTCTTTGAGAGATATATAGCCGAATCTTTACTTTTTCGTGTTGAAAAATTCGCGAACTTCCAAGTCGCCGATTATCTGCATTACGCTTTTGACCTATAGATTGCAAGCGTTCTGATTACAAAACAAATTGGTATCTCAGTACGAAGAAAAACATGTACCACGCGTTGCTCTCAATCGCCGTCTACACTCGTGTTTTTTCGAAATTGCAATATAAACGAGATAACATTTAGAATTCAAAAAAAAAAAAAAAAAAAAAAATGCACCGAAAAAGATAGAACACGTTGTTACATCAATTGGTTCAATTTGGATAATAAAAATCAAATTCTCTTTCGTAGATTTCCGCGAATCTGATTACATCGAAAATCCCAGTTACATCGTTTATAAATACATTAATTCTCTTATCTGTGCGATTACGTAAACAAGGTTTTTGATTGAGGCTTGTTGAAAGATAATTCCGTAAAAGGTGTATATACGTATATGTACATACATATACTTATATACTTACGTTATCTCGCGCGTACGTCATCAATGAGAGATAACCTACTTATACGATGATTTAGTAACACATAATTTTTAAAACTGCATCAATGAGAAGCCACGGTTTACCTTTACAAGGTTTAGGTGCTACAAACATTTGGACATTTGCTTAATCGTCTCTTATCAAAGCATGCGATATAATTTTGGTGATAAAAATTCTAAATTGGATAAGAAAATGTTATCTCGCACATGTCAAAGGGACGTGTCCTAGCTGCGCCCGAAATTTAATGTTGTATTTGAAATTTAGTGTATTGTACATATAAATTATTAAATAATACACTGCGTGTACGTGCGTGCGTGCGAGTGTGACTAATAACATGATTAGTCGCAACATCGGCTGTGTTTGAGAATATAAATGTGCTCTCGCACCGGATTTATTTTTACATTTCCTCTTGAGCATTGCCTTGTATAGTCATCGACGTGCCTCATGTACCATATGCGGTTTCGGACAACCGCATATGGCAATGAAAGTTCTTGCGCAATTACGAAATACGATTCGCCGAGTCATTCGCGGACGCGCGCGCGTTATTCGATTCGAGATGAGGTAAGGCTCGTTAAGAGGGTCGAGCGACAGGAAGAAAAGAGAAAAGAAAGAAAAAAAAAAAAAAAGAAGATGAAAATGGGGAGAAGGTTAACCGGGCATCTTATATGTCTCCGTCGCGTCTCCGACAACTTTGCCATCTTAAAGCCTTCCGAAGTTCTTCAGTCCTGGTCGACGCACGACGAATTTCCTACGGCTACTTAACCTGCGCCAACACGTATTTCCCATGCATTTTAAGGATTTCGGACTATAGGGGCGGTGTTTTGTCGAAGTATGAGCACGTAGTTGCCGTGAAAGGATCATAGAGTGGACTTAGCTGCGGAATCCCGTGTAAAACTTGCCCGGAATAACAAAGTTCCGCGTCTCAGGGGCGCGCCGATGGCGCTCCGCATTCTCTTTTGTGGTCAAAAGTCTTTCTTTTTCCCCCCCTCCCCCCTTCCCCTCTTTGCGAAGAGACTCTATTATGACACCTGACCGTGCGTGAATTTACAGTCTCGTTATCGGTGAATGTTTGTTAACGGTCTTTGCGGAAACCACCAAGCGCTACCCGCGCGTCTCTGACGACGTTTGCATTGGGGACCTCGAAGCGTCTAGCGGAACACAATTAAGATAAAAAAAAAAAGATTGCAATTAGGAGGCAGTGTTTGACAAACAGAGAGAGAGAGAGAGAGACGTGGAATAGAAAGTTTTAGTTTTTAATTTATTTGTTTTGATCTTCTTAATTATTTAAAAAATATATAAATTCAAATCACACATCTCTTTCTAATGTTACACTTTATTTAATTTTTTTTTTTTTTGATGGTAAAGTAATTCTTTTGCGATTTACAGAACTGTCGTTGATTCTCATTGAGAACTTATCTAGATCCGCGGAAGCGCTTCGCGCGAATGGTCTTTTGTGAAAAATTCACTCGCGCGCCATATTAACCAATAATAACGCGCGATACGGCACGCGCATCGTCGGAGCGCGTTTTTAAGGGATTCAGTTCAGATGCGGACCGAATCGCTAAATTGTCTGTAATAAAAGCGCGTGTGCGAACAACGTGCCGGTTGTTTTCTGGCAGGATGTGCCGCGCATCATGGTCGTTATCGCAATCTAAAACGGTCTCTCTCGCAGCGCGCGTTTTATCTCACAGTGCGCGACTCTCTCTCGCTAAGTCCGGACTTCCGCAATTTCGAAACAACGAGCGCGTCGTTGTCGTTGTCGTCGTCGTCGGTTGTATTGTCGTCGCGCGTTTCTCCCGAATCGCGCGCGCTGCTTGTAATTGTTAATGCTCGCGAAAACTCCCACACTCGCGAGCATCTCCCGAGCAAAAGTATAAATACGGTAATTCAAAAACTCTCGTAACCGTATATATATATATATATATATATATTTTTTTTTTTATCACATCTCCCGATCTGCCATTTTTTAATGCGATCTTTTAATCGCGACAGAAGAGAAAAGAGACGGCAACCCTCCCGATCATCTCGCGTGCGTGCGCGCGGCAAATGTTTGGACAGTCTCGCGCGCGAATTAATAAACGTTCTGCCGTGCCGTTAGCCTCATTAAAACCGGGGTGTTCAAAGTTGTGTAACACGCGACACTCGCATTTTCGACGCGGCGTGTGCACGCACGAACAAAAGTATACGCGCGCGCGCGCGCGCGTGTGTGTGTAAAAGCGCCGCGCGAACGTCGGATATGTTGCACGCGAATCCTTAAATGATGCGCCCGCGCGGCGTGTAAACGCCGCAACCGTAATAATACGTCTCGTCTGGCGCGATTTAAGCTTCATTACCAGGGTGCCACGAGACTTCCCGCCCGCCGCCGTGGAAAAAGACGCGCCGACATTTCCGCTCACGTGTTGCCCGGCGCCGTGCGTGCTCTTTGTTGCGCGCGTTCACGAGAGAGAGAGAGAGAGAAAGAGACACACCTGTGATCTCTCGTGCGTGTTATCACCGCGATAAGTTATTTTATTTAAGAGAAACGAGACGGATTTATCTCGCAAAATTTTTTATTTGTTAACACTTTCTAACGTACAAAATATTCTCATTCAACATAAATTAAATAAATAGTAATGATGTGTTGAGGAGTGACCTCGGGTTCGATGTGGAGAATTCAAAAATGATTTGAAATAAACGGCTACGTCGAACCGATCGCAGGATTGTACGCAATGATGTAGAATGATTTCAGAACAAAACGTTTCGACTTTTTATTGAAGTCTTCTTCAGTTGTACACAATTGAATAATAAATTAAAAAATAAATTAAAAATATGTAAAGTGAGTCGATTGAGAATTTGATGATAAAGCGAACAATTTTCACTATGTCGTTTGAATATAAAATGTTGTTACTGTTGTAATGTGTTGTCTGTGACTGACAGTAAATCATTCTATACATCATTGCATACAATCCTGCGATCGGTTCGACACGTAGCCGTTTATTTTCAAATCATTTTTAAATTAAATAAATTACTTTATCCACAAAAAAAAGAGATCATTTTCCCTCCTTCCGTTATTGGAGAAGTTTGGAAGTTCAATTAATCATTTCGAGTCAGATTAGAATTTAGATTTTTGGAAAAAAAAATTACTTTCGATCATTTCTCTTCGGGCGAAACACGCGACTTTCGTAGAAATTTTGTTTTCCGCGGCGCGCTCGTCGTTCGATTAATTGTTTCTTTTGCATTCGCGAGAAAGGCATATACACGGCGTATTTTATTCATAATACTTGTGACGTGAAGGGGGAGAAGAGGGGCGAGACGCGCGTCTCTGCATAACCGGCTCGGAGAAGAGATAACGTAAGTATCCCGGGCTCGTCAGGTATTCGCCCATAACGATACGTTATATTCACCGCGACTGGCTTCTCATATACTTCCGTCGTGTTCTCTGCGAAAAAGAAACCGCCGATTCTCCATTTTCATCTCCGCACGAACGCCGCGCGGCGTCATTGACCCCCGCTCGCGCGTACTCTCGAATCCTGGGGGGCAGTTTGCCGCGGTTCTTACGGAATCACGACGCGCCGCTCGCGCGGCAGAATAGCCCGACGATCCTGAATTTATATCGTGTGTTTAGGTGAGAATTGGTTCTTTATGAGAGACACGTGAGAATACTCCGCGATACACACCTTACCTCCGATGGTGTCTCTCGCACGATAGCGTATTTGCTCGCGCACGCGCGGTTATTCGGAGGTGGCAGAGATCCGCGCGAACACATCCGATGAGATAGTGACTTATGCATTTGTCATAAAGCGACGAAGAATTGCAACCGAATAGCGTACATAGCGGATATTTTTAAAAACTATTTCTGACGACGAACCGTAGAGAAATTCTTTTTTTTTTTTTTTTTTTTCATTCCGTCCGTATAAATATAGTTCGTAAGAATATCGACATTTTTTTATTTTTTTTTGTTGCACGTGTCCCTCGCGCGTCGACGGAAGTCGGTTAAGAAAAATCAAGTTAAATATTGCAGATCGATGTAAAAATAGATGAAAAAAATGTTGCGGAAGTTGCTCTTGCAAAATTCACGCACACAATCTACAATTTGCGATTTGCTTTTTCAGGACGATGACTTGACTTTTGATCCAGACGGTAAACAACCCGCGGTCTCAACATCATTGATCGAAACGGAACAGAACGAATCCTTTTTCCAGAGGATAAAAAGGGGACTGTGGGATTTCATCGCCGTGCCAACCACGACCACCGCGTCGACACCGCAAGGTACGTTAACTTTTCCGAGTTAATTCACAAAAAGAGAGAGAGAGAGAGAGAGAGTTCATTAGAATCGTCGAACGCAGTAACATCTAATGTGTAATTGCGCAATGTTCAACGTCTAACGTCGATTGTTTAATTCTTTGATGTAGACCAAGATCAGCAGGGAAATATTAACAATTCGGTTCTTCCGATCGACGAATATGAGGAAAATCAGACCAGTTTCCACAAGCCTGATGTGTCGAACGGCGAAAATCTGATAATATCCTCTGGTACCGCCGAAAGGTTAACCGTCGAAAAGGATTTTCCTCCTCTTCTTCCTTTTTATTCATTAGGAGCGAATGATTACGAGGTATGAAATTTTTCTTTGAAATGTTGTTGTTTCATATGTTACTTAAAATTTAATTAAATTGTTTATTTAAACTAAGTTGTATGTATTTATAAATGTGATGTCGCTTTTTACAACTGTGTGTGACAATAATTCGTAAATAAATGATTCCCTCTTTTCATGAATATCAATGTGTACAAAAAACTATTGTGTTTTTTACACGCAGCACGACAATGAGATCAATACCGCCGCGGAAAGCAAAAGAATCCCGATGAAATACGGAATCGTCGGGAATTCCGACGACGAGGATCTGACCGGATCGGGAGATCTCGAGGGCAGCGCGAACGAGAAAGATCTGGACTCTCATCTAGTACCAGGAATCGCGCGCCCCGGTGACGGCAAAGCGCGTGAGTGTCTCTGCTTCATTAATTAAAAACACTGATTGGAAAGAATTTATGTGAAAAAAAAAAAAAAAAAACAGAATTTTTAGTTCTTTAATCAACTTGTACAACGCTTTTGCTCTCAATCCGCCATCTTTTTTTGTAAAGATAAGAACCCTAAAAAAAGTAAAATTTAAAATAAAAAAAAAATTCTCTTTTGTTTAGCAAAACATTTGTATTTGTAAATAAATTAATTTAGCGACTGCCAATATTTTCTTTGCAGGATATTATCGAGTAACGCTGACAGTTGGCGAGCCCTACAGGCGCGAATACTCGGACAGAAACAGTCCTGAGTATCGAGAATTAAGTGGAAATCTCACACAAGCTGTCGAGACCCTGTACAATCGTCACATTCCGGGATACAGTCACTTCGCCAACGTCGTCAAAATCTCGTAAGTGAAATCGCGCATATATTTCGCGCTTTTATAATCATTTTTTCTTTACAATCGTGTGTGTTATTCTCAATTTGTATTATTACGCTCGCACGTGTCATCATTTCACAGACCAACGACGGACGCTTTCACGTCGCAAGTCACCCTAGACATCGGTTCGACGTTCACGGACGACGCGGAGGTGCGTGACGTTCTAGGAACTCAGCTGCGATATCATTCTTTGGGCACCGTCCAAGTAGATCCGGAGGGATTCACGTTCAGGATATTCCAAGGTATTTTCGCCCGGCGTTTCGCTGCTCCCTAACAACTGGAAATGATCGATTTCACCGTTGGAGCTTTCGAAACTAAACTTCGTAATTCGTTCGGCTCTTTCGTAATACCACGAAAAGTCTGAATGACAAGAAGTGTGCGAGAAGACTCCAGTCAATATATCGAATAGTCGATTTCCTTTAACAGCCGGAATTGATTAATGGCCGTTTTTTTTTTTTTGCGTAAGAAAAAATAAATTTACGCGCAAATTTGCGTTTTGCGAGAAAAACGACACGGTCCGTAGATACGTGTACAGCTTACGTCGCGAAAATTAAAATCGATCATTCCGGTGTGGGCGCGATTTTCTCGACGTTACGCTCAGATCGTAGAAGCATCGACGTAAGTAGTTACGCACGACGAATGCAACGACTGCTTCGAATTGTCTTGATGCGCAACTTTATCTGTAAATTTTTATTACACATATGTATATATACGATGTCTGAAAAAAAAGACGCAGCCGAAGCAAAGCGATTCTGTAGATGAGTGTGTTTTAGTTTAAAAAAAACAAAATAGTTATTTTATGCAATCTCCCAGCAACGAGAGACAGAGCAAACGAGCGAGCGGCGTGTGAAACAGTTTCTTGCCATCGGTTGATTTTTAATACAACTGAAAATTATATACACACCTGGACAGAATCCGGACCATTGTTATTCTACGAGCTCATTGGCTCACATTAATTAATTAATAACTCAATAAAAATTGCGAATTTCGCAAAATGACTTTTCAAACTGACCCGATCTATCTACTTCTCGGCTGTGTCAACACATTTTTCAGACATTTTACAGTTCAATTTTATTGCGTAATTATTTTAATTTTTCACTTTCTTCCATTCTTTTTAATTTAAAGTTTATTTATTATTAATTTTTACTATATAAGTTTTTTTTTTTGTTAAAATTTATATGAGTTTTAATTGTTTTGTTTTGCAAACTTTTTTCTTTTCTGGCTCCGCTTGTTTTGCCCGTTCTCGGCAATGTGAATGCACGTAAATCGCGAAACGCGGAGCAGCCGACGAAGACTTAGAGGAATGCGATCAGGCAACCGAATTGAGATGCAGAAGCGGCGAATGCGTGCCGTTAGAGTCGCGCTGCGACGGCGTGTTGCAATGCAACGATGGTTCTGACGAGGACAATTGTCCAACAGATGTCTCGAACAGAACGGACCAGGGTAAGTGCACGCGAAGTCCGAAGATCCTCGCATTTTCATCTTTTCTAGTATGAAAACAAAACAAGAGTCAATAAGATACACAGGCCATCCACTTACGCTTGTCTGAAAAAAAAAAAAAAAACGCAATTATACTCTTATCTTCTCCCAGCTAACGAAGACTAACAAAAAACCGCACGGTGTACAGAACATACGGTATGTTGTAAAACACATATCTTGTAATCAAATAGCTTCGCTATGAGACTCCGCATGATTTTAACCTTTAATCGAGCATTAAATTCTTCAATTGCATTTATTTATAATGTTATTGCACGGAATACCACGTTCGTGTTGAATCTTGTGGAAGATCCAACAGGTAGCGAGTTTCCATTTCCAGCAGGTTTTCTCCGCTTCGCTCCTTTGTTTTTCTTCGGTTCTTTTTCAATGTTAAATAACAAAACCCCGTATATATATATATTTGCATATAATATTATTACATATTTCTAAATAACAAACCGCACACAAGAGACCAGCGCGCTTCTAAAACTTAAATCTTTTTTTACACATTATAGAAATAATTTATTTCAAACTTCCACACGTGTGCGAGTTACAACTCAGCAAAACTCTTCCTTCTCCCGCTGTAACTTTTTCCGAAGCGAACACTTAAAGAGCTAATAGATAGAGCTAATGGGGATTTTCAACGTGTCACTTTTGCTCGCCTGTCATCTAATTCACGTTTCTCGCTAACATCCGCGTGTAACATCCGCGCGTCAAATCGTTGTCTCATTGAACCGAGCCTGTGATACACGAAACAACAGATTCCGAACTTATCACCGTGACGCCGCTTCATCCGGAATCATCAACGAGACCCGTTCCGGAAACGACGGACGAGACAACGGAGGTGTCGCACGAGGTGAAACCGGAGGTGACGAATGTCGACGAAGAGTACGGCGAAGGTGAAGCCACCCTGAGATCGTCGTCGTCGAACAAGTGTCGCGCCGACGACACGGTGCGCTGCAAAGACGGCAGCCGTGTCATTTGCGCGGTACAGCTGTGCGACGGCGTCCCGGATTGCGATGACGGTGGTGACGAGGTCGATTGCTCGCATCCAGGTACAGGTTGAGCGGAAACGAATCCTCGCTTGAGGAGGATCTCAATAATAAGCGGAAAAGTTTAGCCAGTAGAAGGATCGTACATATAGTCATTTGAAAACGAGTTAATTTGTTACAAACAAAAAAAATGTAATCCGCGCGATGTAAAAACATCCACACGCGACAAACTTTAACTCGGACAAAATCTGAATAAATAAACGAAACGTTTTCGCTAGACTAGAAATTAGGAGAATATAGAACACGCACAGAAAATAGATATGATGATCCAGGTCAATTGCTAGCGAAAATAAGATGTTTAAAAATATTGACAAAAAAAGTTGTACATATGTGTTACATAATTTTAGACGAAACATTTCGAGAATAAGTCAATATTTATTTATTGAAATTGTTTATGTTCGACGATCAAAAATGATTTTATTTCGATTGACTGAAAAGCAAGTGACAAATTTGTTGGACACCAAGAGATTGAGAGAGGGAGCGCGAGATTGGCGTGGAGATAGTGAAACGCAAATGTTTTTAAACATTATTTAACATTATGCGTTTTGGTAAATATGCCGATTAGGAGAGCAGCTTCCGATAACTCTGAGTTAGTTATATGTTATCAAGGTTATGACCCTGACCTTCAAAAGATTTGAAGTAACGCGTTTGTTGAAAAGTTATTAACAAAAAATGTGTATAGAAAAAAACAAAAGTTCCTGCCTTTTACACATATGCCTCTTACACATAATATGCGATATTTTAGACGTAATATGTCTTGTAAAATAAATGTTTAGCACAGAATAAATAAAAGAATAATTATAAAAATTACGATAAGCTTGGAAAATACTTCCACATAAAAAAAAAAATAACAAAACTTGGGGATGGGGAAAGTATCAATGTGGCCGAAAGTACCGCTTGGAAATATACAAATTATAGTATACAATGAAACTTATATTACACTTACGTGTCTAGTTTTTCCACAGTGGTTAGGTGTCTGTCTGTGAGAGAAGTGATAGTATACACTCCATGCGGATACTTTCCAAAGCAGTACTTTCGGCCATTGATACTTTCCCCACTCCCAAGTTTTTTTTTCTTATGTGGGAGAGCGCACCCAGACACGGGCGTAGCCCCGATTGACTTCTCATTTTAGTGATAAAGCGTTTTTTAAAAAAACCGGATTAAAAAATAGCCAAAAAAAAAAACGCACATATCTGAGCAATTACCAACATTTTTTGTTAATAACTTTTTAACAAACAGCGAGCATTACTTGAAACCTTTTGAAGATCGCTCGTGACCTTGATAACACATGTCAATATCAAGCTTGTCAGAAGCCCGCTCCCCTAATCGACATATTTACCTGCGTTTTTTCTGATTCTCTTTATTGTTGCGACAACATCCTAATTCTTTTGTTATCCTTTTGTCATCATTAATTTTCGCGTCTGATGAAGAGACTCTCTGGCAAGAGCTCGAAACGTTTGGCTTAAAATTATGTAATTTATTTTTTATCTATTTTTCGTTAACCCTCTATGAGCCGAATTTTTTGCTGCAGACAACTTGCAAGGTATTTATTTTGACATTTCAGGTTGATGGTGCTGCCAACCGTCATCAATATTGTTATTGGTTATTTCAGGAGGCATTATATAATTAAGACGTATACATTATCTTGTGAAAAAAACTAAAACTATTTGATAAAATGTGGATATATTAGCTTGTGACTTGAAAGTTACATGGGCCCATAGAGGGTTATTAATTTTAATAAACGACATCTTATTTTCGCTCTCGCGATCTCGATCCAGATTATTATTTATTCGTTAGACCGGAAATCCTTCTCTGGCTAAACGCGCGCGTGTGTGTTGAATATGTTTTTCTTTTTTATCAGTAGTTTATAGAAATACGTGTGTGCAGATAATTTTTTATCTACAATATTCATGTGCAAAGTATTGTATCTGAACAATCAATGTGTTGCATGTGCCACATCTATGTTTCGAAAATTGCGACGAATTTCGCTTATTTTGCATAATTGTTGTGCATATGTGTTTTGTTTTACATTAGCGTTCGTAAAACTTTTCTTTTGCATCAGCGCATGTAAATATATGTGCGTGTGCTAACGCGCGAGAGATCGTCTTCTTTCTAACAATTTCTACGTTGAGAGGTAAATTGTTGTTGCGCATTATACGCTACAACCTATCGCTGTCAAGATGCGGTGTACACTCTCTCGATTTAACCTCGTCGAAACGCGAAAATCGAAAGAGGAGGACTCGATTTATTTGTGAAAAGCTGGTTACACGTCGAGCGAACGACCGACCATTTCAACCAATTTGGCCGACGCGATTGGTTAATTCGTTGTTCGTTCGCTCGGGATATATCCCGGCTATGCACGAGTTAGTAAATTTATCCTCTTTTATCGTTCGTGCGAGGGAACGGTGTCCTAGTGTGTTGGTGAAAGTACATGTGTGAAGGGGAAAATTAATTTATCGTGAGAGAGAAGTGTTAAACTCGAGAGTCTACCGTTTGTGTTTTTTCAAGTCTGAAATTTTGACGTGGATAATCATAAGATACAAATGAAAAACGAGACTAATTTACATATATATATAAAAAAAAAGAAAAACAAACAAACAAACCGCTGTTACTAACAAAAACATAACACTTCGCATCTTCGCAGGCTGCAGCACCGGTGAATTCGCGTGCGACGTAAACAGATGCATACTGGAATCTCAGCGATGCGATTTCGTGGAGGACTGCCAAGACGGTAGCGACGAACACGACTGTCACTATCCCGGTAAGTATTACCGATTTTTTTTTTCTAAATAAACAACACAGTGTAACTGGCGTGAACTGTGTGTGATTACATCACGGAAATCGATAATTGTTTAAAAATTATCGACAATTGTTTATATCTTATAGCGATTTCGGCTGGTTTGCACCGACTGCACATTTCGGGTGTCGGTGCAAATTGTGTGTTTGGCTGGTCGAATGGCAACAGTTCTTTGCTGGTTCCGCGTATTCGTCTGAGCTCAGTACACCGCATAGGTGCATGTTGGGTGTACACAAAGTGGCTCTTACAAATTAGTTGGAGCCAGTTAGTGTAATCAGTACACACACCGATGCGGTGTTGCACACAATTGCACCAACTCTACACAGGTGGCACACCGGTGCAGACCAGCCGAAATCGCTATTAGTCTCCAGAGACAGCGAATCTGCAGTTGTCTGTTGTCGCGACAATCCGGCATGCATCTTTGTAATTGTTGCGATTGCGCGCGCGCGTTCGCTTCTAACAAAAATACTTGCGAATGTTATTTTCGCGATTGAATAATCGCGCGCATCATAAACAACATTGCAAGTACAAACCTGGTATTGATCTCTTAAATCTATTTCATCGGCGCTCGAAAGTATAGACGATTTGAAAGTCGTTCAGAATATTCTGTTGGCGTTTAAGTCACGCTATCTGAGTTATTGACGCCTTCGGGCGTTCAACCGCAAATCGCGCACCGAAAAAATTATATTCTCGTAAGTAGAAGATTTTATACTTAAAAAATCTTCTTAAAGATTTTAGATGATATTCTTCTGAAATTAAGAATATAATCTTAATTTTGTATTCTTTATAATTATTTAAGAATATATTCTTAAATAATTTTTTATTCTTTATTTAAGAATATTTAAGAATATATTCTTAAATAAATAAGAATATATTCTTTATTTAAGAATATATTCTTAATTTAAGAATATAGTCTTTTTCGATAGTGAGATATATATGTTTTTCTATAGAGGCTTTTTTATATTCTAATCAGTATATATTCTTATCAATATTACTATTTAGAGAATTTTCCTCTTAAAATAAGAAACTCTTCTTGGCGCCTATTTTAGTATAAAATATACTTAAAGTAAGTGGGATATCCTCAAAACAAGAATACAATTTTTTCGGTGCGATATCGCGCAAATGGCTCCAGATGTGTCTCCAAGCCGTTATTACGATATTTATTATTTTTAAATACCGCACATTTGTGTGTATATTTTTATATTTTTATATTACTGTAACGCAACTCAACTGTTTCGACGACTTTTCCACAATCTACATACAAAATGCGCGCCAGCGAAGAAAAGTCTTCAGGCCCGAACGGTCTGTCACGCGCGCTCTGCGTTAGACTTCGCCGCAGCGAAAGGGTTAAAATAATCCAAGAGTCTACGCGCGTTGTTTCGTTGAAGTTTATATTTGAACAACGTGTTACAAAAAAATTTTTTTAAAATTGCAACAACCGAGTCGATCTTGCGACTCGAAATTGTGGGATTTCGATCTTACCGACCGCATGCGAGATAACCGCAGACGAGATGCAAGTCTGGTTACCGTTTATCACACGCCAACGTGTGTATCTTACCAACGACCGCTGGTTTATCAGTCAAGGTAAAAAGATCTCGCGCGTTGATGGCGCAGAGAGAGAGACCAGAGTTACCTGTTCTACCGACTCGCGAAAGAATCGATACGTCGCGAAATGACCCTCGGTGGTGCATTTTCTCGTTGCGAGAAAAAAAAAAACTTTATGCATTTTCCCGATGAAGACGCGCGAGACCAAAACGCGCGCGTTTTCATCGTTTTTTCTATACGCGCGCCCGTTAGCGGTGGGGGTGTCTCGATATCCCTCGACGTTAATTCAACGCGACTCTCGTCCTTCGTCCTTCGTCCGCGATCGTCGGGGCGCAAATTTCCGGCGACGTGTTTTTTCTTCGCAAACGACGAAGAGACAAATCCCTAAGTAGCGACGGAAGCTTCGGGGGTTTTTTTCCGCGGAAAAATAAGGTCAGACGGGAAAGCCGGGATGTGCGCGACCGGGGTACGTACCTACTGAATATTCAAAGCTCGAGGGGCTTTTTCTCTCTCTTCTTCTTCTCTCCCGCGCGCCCGCTCTAGCGCCGCGTCCTCCGGCTCTTTTTTTTTTTTTTTCTTTTTTCGGGGGGAAGCTTCCTTCGCGTCTCGAGTGGTGGATGATCGTGGTCAACAACGTGGAAGCCGTCCCGGATGCCGGTCGGTGTATAAAGCCCGCCCGATTGCGGCCACACGTACGCGCGGCGCCCCGGCTTTGCCGGCTTAATTAGACAGCCGCGCGCGCGCGCGTTCGAGCGAGGGTAAATTAGCTCGGTGTGGTATCGGCTCGTGAATTATATTCTCGCACTCTCCTACGTAAGGGAGCAAAAACGTATCGATAATCGCGGTATTTACACGCTCGACAACGTCTCTACACACACGTGTGTGTGTGTTCTTCTTCTTTTGTAATTGATTGGAAAACTCTTTATCTTCGGAAACACAAAACACGTCGCGCGATTGAACACGAACTGTTTTTTTTTTTTTTCATAATGATACCTCACGAAAAATTCGGGAGGGCTAATCGGACTAATTATTCTTCGGGAATTTGTACAATGTGCGTAACGAGTCGGGGGCGGGACGCACGTGGGACACACACACGCACACACATATGGAGTGTTCTGTATACGAGCGAAACTTGTATTTTTCGTCATTATCGCGATTTCGCAATTATCGTCCATTCAGAGTGAACAATTCACAATCACGATTGTGTCCCCCACCCCCCTGTTTTCTCGGGGGCTGTTCGACAAACATCTCCGGTCTCCGACCGGAGAGCTACTTGTCGATCAAAAGATCTCGCCGCCAATTTGAACGGGAATGCTATTTGCCGCCCATATCGCTCTCGCAAGAAAATGCGGTGAGATCGTTTACACGCGGGTTTAATACTCGCAGTTTCACGTCTTTTGTAAATTCGCGCGCGCGCGTCGAGCGAACGGGAGAACACAGAGAGAAGAAAAACAGAAGCAAATTGAGAAATGGGTTCCCGTTATTCCGTTAATCGTTGACCGGCAGCCTATGTGTGTGCGAACTGGGGCAACGCGCGCCCGCGGCCCGCAAAATCGAAGAATATAATCCTGCGATCATCCGTAAATCAAAGCACACAGGCTGCTCCCCTTAGTATCCCGTTCCGGTTTTATACAAACGCGCGAAGTTTTCTCGTTGGCGAATATCCCGCGCGTCTTCCGCTAGGCTTTTTTTTTTTTTTTTTTTTTATTCCGCCAAGACGACGACGACGACGACCGGGAAACGGGCGCTGACAAGGGACAGTCATCGGGGGAAGGCAATGAGGGGAGAAGCGGGCAGGAAAAGGGCGACGTCGTCGAAGCACCGCTCCACATAAATATCCGTAGACACGCAGGTCGCGGACCCGGCAAGAAGAGCGCTTTTACCTGTCCCCGCCGGTAATCGCGATGTGCATGCTTAATCAATATTCAAGTATTCAGCCGTGAGGCACACAGGGGGATGATTCTCGCTAACTTACCCCTCGTCACTCCACTTCCTCCTCTTTCTCTTCCTCTCTTTCCTTCTCCTCATCTTTCTGTTTCCTCTTTCATTGCGTTCTCGTCCTCCTCTCTCTCTCTCTCTCTCTCTCTCTTCTCCCTCTCGAGCAGGAATGCGCATAACCACTTTCGTGTCTCTCCGGTGCCCTCTCGCTCCCCCCGTCGCGCCAGCAATATACCCCTATGGACAATTATGAGCCCCGCTGTGCCGAAGGTAGGGGATGAGGCAACAGGAGGCAACTACGGGAGGGAGGAGGGTTAACCTGCACGCTAGGCACCGCCACGACAAACGTCAACCCCCGTCGTCTTCGAACATTATTCAGGTGCGTCCTCTTCGGGAGCGCGTATATATATATATATATATATAAATGTATGTATAAACCGGCCGACTCGAACGTTTCGCAACGGGATATGTCCTTGAAGGATAAAAAAGAATGATGGATACGATAAATTTCGACGAAATTTCAGCGCACGCTCCTCGCGAAAAAAAAATTACGACCAACCCGATGGGTTTTTTCCCCGATCGATAATTGATAAATATTGCAGTGGTGTTGTAGTTATCCGTGTTTTTTTTTTCTCCGGATCGAATAGATTAGACCCGGGAGATTTGCCTTCTTCCAATTTAACACACATCTCCGACAAATAACATGTTTTATTTATACACCCCCCGGAAGACTAAACGCAATAATGTCAGAGAAACACACGATAATGCATAATTTTTACACACAGACATCACGCACATTTAGCACATTTGTGCGAAAGCATTTGCAATTAAACGCAATTGTTTCTCTTTTTTTTTTTCAATTTTTGTTCAACAACATCTCGAAACGTCCGTAATGGCATAAAACAAAGTGCTTCAATAAAAGGGGTAGGTTTGAAATATTTTTGTGCTATAAAATTAATCTAAACTACCGCGCGGGGTTCTCGCAGTAACAGTATTTCTTGCCGAGGGACGTTCACGATTGTTTTTATAACGTAGCGCGATGCATTCGTTATCGAAAGTATATATATATATATATAGCGATAGAGAGAGAGAGAGAGAGAGAGAGAGAAAGAGAGCGAGAGAGAGAGAAGTCAGTGGCGCTACGGGGAGGCTTTCGTGTCTTACGACGGAGACTTTGTGCTCTTTTATACGCGGTCATGTTACCTAATATATTAAACCAGAACAAATAATTGTTATTGCAAACTGAATTTCTAGGCGTTGCACGCGGTAAGCGACATTTTCGTCGCAATTGCCGAGCGAAGTGTAGTCTCAGCCGCGAAACTTACACAGCTTTAATTGTAAGAGCTATATACTCGCAACGGTTAATCATATAATCGAGTCAGATAAATCTCTCTTACTTCTCAATCGCGTGTCGCGGATAAAAAAAAAAAAAGTACAACGAATTGCTTAAATTACGGTTTACTTTAAGTCCGAATTGCGTA